TGGTAGACGCAAGGAATAAAAACAAGTTGTCCAGAAATGTCTTTGTACAGAGAAATGTCTGTTTTTCATACATTTGAAAGTTATTAGAAGACATAAATCATTTTAAAACTTGTAGTTATTTCTAGGTTTTAATTTATAATTATCCAAATAATCCAAACACCACCACTTACAATCATGATATTCCTACATAAGTATGCAAATTTTATCATTAAGAATGATTATTATGTGATAAACTGCACAAGAAACAGTAAACTAACAAGTGCGTAATCAAAACAAAAAACTCATTCTATTTGTTTTAAGAAATCTACCAACTGCAATTTTGACTGTTTTTAAAAAATAATATTAGGTTTCATTTTTTAAGTATTTTTTTAAAGATTTATTTATTTATTTTAGAGAGAGTGCACTGCGGGGGCTGGGGGGCAAGGAGCAGGGGGAGAGGGAGAGAGAAACTCAACTGGCATGACACAGGGCTCAATCTCATGAACCGTGAGATCAGGACCTAAGCCGAAACCAAAAGTCAGATGATCAACCATCGGGGCACCCCTCATTTTTAAATGTAATTTAAAACAATCCATTTTTAGTGATCTGATGTTCTATGAGCATAGTTAACAAGTTATAACTAATCTTAGCTTCACTCTCTAGTCTAATAAAACCTTTGCAAGAAAACAACCGTTCAACTATGACACAGGTAATGTAGTAAGACTCCAATACATGTTAGAACAAAATGGGTAATTTAAGGGAAAAAAAAAAAAAACCTGAGTAATCAGAGACTAATATTTGAAATAAAATTCTGATAAATATGAATTTTTGCAGGTGCTCCTAACAGGTTATAATACAATCAAATCTAGTTAGGAGGGAAGCACTCAGACGCCAGATATTGAAAATGTGAAATAAGTAAAAGTAATAATGATATTGTTGAGACCAAACATTCTAATCTTATGGTTCAATATCTATATAATTTGCTATATGCTCAAATAAGGAGGAGAATATAGTAAGCATTTAATAGTGTGGACTCAGCTATAAAAGTAAAACAGCTTCATAGATCATTTCCTATACTCAAAGCTTTTGAGTAATGGCCACAATACTAAATAAAATTAAAGATACTATTCATGGAAACAAATAGATTCCAGGGTTTTTAGTTTTAGGAAACCTTTTTTCTCTCTCCTATCTCCCATTAAATATTAAGATGTACACAGTTAAGCTAAAATTTAAGGTCTAAAAGTTGGTCTTATTCTAAATCTGATAGCTTGATAAAGACTTAGAAGAAAGGCGTACCGACATCTAAAAATCTATCTTTTGCAAATCAAATATGATTTCCTAAGGAGAGGGATCACTTCAGTTCTGTTTGTTACACTGATGTATCAACTTACTAATCTCAGATCTGTAGTGCCTATTTCCTTACCTAATACACAGAAAAAATTCATCCCCCTTTTTTTAGTGACACAAAAGCAATTTTCCTTTATTAAGCCTTCTAAACATCTTCATCAAATACTTGTATTTAATGACCAATTTGTTCTAGGAATAAATTATAACAGTAAAAGTTTTCTTTATTAATTCAGCAAAGAATGATCAGTTATTATTTATATGAAGTAGTCATTCATTTACCAAGCACTTACTGAGTATTAATTATTCCAGGAACTGTGGAAACAAAAACCAATAAATAATGTATCACTACATGGCCATAACTATCTCAAAAAAAGAACATCCATCACAGAGAGATAAATACTTAAAAAGATGTCACAATTCCAAAACAGAGTTTCAATCTGGCCTTTAGCATTAAGAAATACACATTTTTAATTGGAAATTTCCCACACAATTTTGATTTAAATTTTAAAAGCAGATGGCAAAATGGAAGCACTGTTTTTAAAAAATGTGTAAGATACTGTAAACCATCTTCCTCTTTAGGACCTGATCATTGTCAGATTTCCCATGTCTAGTGAAAATAGTGGAGTCTAATCATTTTAAGGAACATGTCTCAACAAACTCAACAAAAACAAGGCATGCACATTCTCTGAAAGGCAAAAATAAGCATGTATTATTACTAAAACATATTTACCAATTGGAATCCTTATTTCAGAACCCTCATATATGTGTCTTTTGTATTACTAAACAATACTATTACCACTACCCTACTATTTTATATGGAAAAATACTTATTGCTCATTTAAGTCCCTAATGGAACAGAGTATAATTTTGATCATGTACAATAAAGGGAAAAACTGAGACACAGAAATGCTAAATTACTTGCAAAAGACCTGAGAAAAACTTAGAGGCAAACCAAAAATAATAGTTGGAACCTAGTATCACAGTTAACGGATTAAGTGAACTCAATTTCCCAATGATATTAAAAAATTACACATGTAAATTCACATATACACATATACAAATAAAGGAAGAAGCCAGGAAAATAATTAAGAAGGAATTTTGTATATAGCCTGAATTACATAGAGAAGTGTGGTTTCAAAATCAAAGCTGCTAAACCTGAGTCACATATATCAGTTCAAAGGAACTTAAGAAAATAAATACAGTATATTCAGTAAAATAGTAATTAAATTACCACCCAAGAAGTTTAATTTTATAATAAAACCTAACAGACATACATAATAAGTATAAATGTGTCTCTGACTAAGCACTGAAATATATCTTTAGGAAAAATAAAGTCTAATTTAAAATGTCTTAAAATGAAAAGTTAAAAAATAGCATGTGTACGTAATACTTAAGATGCAATCATAAAAGTGCAGAATTTTGTGGGGTGGGGTGATTTGGAAACAATAATGGTGCCAATTACAAAATAAAAGAGATGTTAGGGGAAATGGCCGATATTAACTTATAAGATTACCTTTTAAACACATGAAATTCTACATTAAAAAAAATTCTTCTTTAACCCACAAGCAATCGTGCTTATATTGAATATGTACTTTGTTTTTAACAGAAGAGTCACATTATAACCATAAAACATTTTATGGCACTGCTTTATATCCAGCTTATTTTATCCTCAAAAACATTAACATATAATATTTATAAAAACATTTAATTCCCTCTTCATTACCTCTTTAAAACCTTTGCAGAAAATCTGTGATGTTATCTTCTTAACAAGGCAAAACCAAGGAAAACTTTGTATATTCATCATTTCTAGAGTAACAAAAATATCTTTACCTTCCAGAAGACTATCCACAAAATCCCAGACACTGGCATGTTATAATAATGCAATTAAAAATGGAAATTTTATGACAGAAATTAATTAAATGATAGGAATGTACGTTCTCACCAAGAATCGAAGAAAGATTGTATCTACTTTTTTAAATGACAACTAAAATATGATGTGTTGGAGATGCTCTTGTTATAAAGTGGTTTTTAAAATTAAAATTGAACTTATGTCTGAGGTTCTTTCAAATATATGACCAAGCAAATAAAATAAATAGAAACCTGGTAAAAATGTATAGGTCCTATAGCAAAAATGTCATGAATCAGCTTCCTATCTTGAAAAAATAAATAAAAGGATTGATATTTACAGTTTCAAATAACTAAAGAGAAAATAACCAGTTCTCTAAGTTTTTAACTAGTTTCAAATTGATCATGTCCCACGATGCAACCCTCAACCCCAAGGGGATTTCCTTTAGATTGAATTTTTTTCATTATATAAGACTGTTTTAATGTTTTTTTTCTTTTATTTAGTTTTATTGTTTTATGCATTCTATCATGTTATGCTTATGGTTGGGATTTCTTTTTTTTTTACATAAAGAAAATTATAGTATGGTCAGAATTATTCATGTGTATCTTCGGATACAGGAACTACTCTAACCTAAATTTAAGTGAGTTTCATTTCCAGGAGAGCCCTCATGACATTCTATATATATGTACTACTTCAGAGAACACTGACCAAACATGATAGACCTTCTTAACTTTAAGGAAGCACTTTTAATTTTTTCACTGGAATATTTATTTTCTCCTCATTTTAATGATAATATTAAAAAAACTCTAAAATTTAAATTTAAAACTGCATGCTTTTACTTAAGGAATTAAAACAAATAGAAATTAGATTTTTAATGACAAATGACATCATTTTGGAAGCAAATATTTAACATCATTTAACAGTACTAATATATGTTTTAAAAACTCACTTTTGAAACATTTAATTTCTGTGCCCTCAGTTAATTTCACAGGGCTTCATCAAAAGACAATTTTTTAAAGAAATCAGAAATTGTTTCCTTAAGACACAAAAAGACTCTTTGTGTCACTGTCCTTTGAAAGAATGATACTACTTTTAAATTCGATCTCCTTTTGCTCACCCCACTTTACCCACTCCTTCATCTCACCCAAGGCTTTGAGTAATTTCTTCATCTCAGCAAAAGAGGCAAAGGCTAAAATTAGCAGTCTCTGGACCCTCAGGAATAGCCACTGTGCAACATCAGCTGAGATTCCTGATTAGCATTATGTCTGATAAAAAAAAAAAAAAAAAAAAGGTACCAAAGCAAAACAAAGAAACAAAGAAGAAAACAAAACAAAAAAGCAAAATCTATCTAGGCCATCTTTTCACCTTTCTTTATTTCATGAGAGAAGCATTTAACACATTCGTTTTGATAAGTGGTAAGGAAGTGCTAATGAAGCTTTTGTCATTGAAAAAGAATCTGTCTTATCATTATCACTAATAAACTTCAACTTTTATAATATGTAACAACTTAGTAATTTTGTTTTATGAAATAATCTTCATACAAGGTGTTTAGATCAAATTATTTGTTTGCCCTCTATACAGAGCATTACCAACTGCTCTTATCAAGAGAAAATTGTTTGTGTTCAAAATCCAGATTATCACTCTTAATTACACCTAAAGCCAGAAAATAGCCATGCACATGAAATCTGTTTCTGAACTACTATTTCCACTAAATAAGATTTTAAGAAAGGTCCTATATTGTGATTTTTTCCCCCATTATATCTGTGATGAGAAAATATGAAGATGGAACTTTAATCCCCTAAAGACAAAGTCTCAGCATCCAATTTACCTGACAAGATTTTCATTGTCTCCAGTTCCCTTGCAAGTTGCACATTCAGTTCGTAAATCTTCAGCCTTAGGCTTCTTTTGTAACACAGACTGCCTCTGCCTTCTTTCTCTAGGAATTCTTTCCTGCCATACAAGGGAAAACAAAACAAAACATAAAAATCAGGATATGGGGGAAAAAGAAATAATTTAAGAAGAAAGTTTCTCAAAGTTTAGATTGTGTAAAAAATGCTTAACTTATTCCAACCTCATGTTTTTCTTCCTCAGGAATGAAGCTTCGCTTTCGTCCTCTGGTTCTCTAAGGGAAAAAAAAAAAAAATCCACAAAAATTTCTAATGTTTAATTTAATAATAAAAATAAATATTCTCTGTTAAATGTTACTGCTTAAGTTAAGCACTTGGAAAATTAGTATTTCTAATTAATACTGTATTGCTCTAGTGCACTGTTACAATTTATGTCACAAGAGATAAAAACATGACAAATTAAATGCACTTTATAAGCACTTTACTTTTAAATTACACAACTATCTGAGAAGAAAAATAAATTCTTCAAAATCAACTGGAATGACTTCTCAATACTTCACACACGTCACACAACTATGATTCATCCAGAGCATTTAAACCTTCAGAACGTACATGACTTTTATAGCCGAAATGCTAAACCTGGGCTCACACTACTTCTAATACTCCGGTGTGTACAGAGTACATACATGTTTGTATAACATAACCAATCAATTTTTAACTGCCATCAAAAAGTGGGAGTAAAAGATCTCAGATGTCCCCAAATCCTAGATGAAATAAAACTAACTAAAACTCGGGTTCCATGCCAAGAATGGAGCTTACTGAAAAAAATTTAAAAAATTTAAAAAAAGAAAAAGAAAAAAACTAACTAAAACATGGTATAAATGACTTATTTTAAACTTAATTAGTTGAAATTTTATATCCTATATTTCAGAACACATTTACCATTAGAATGATGACATCTAAATGTTAAAAGTAATTACAATAATGATATTGCATCCAATATGTTCAAAATCTCTACCCACATTGCACAGCCTCTTGTAGATTTATAAGCCCCATGTGCAGACCATAGTTCTTTAGAGACTGAAAGAGAAAGAAGGCACCATTCCCACAAATTCTTTTGTCTGCTAATATCAAGGAACATTCCCAAATTAGAAGAGGTACCAAATAATCCTAAACAGAACTGATATCCAGTATAAGAAACCCTGATGTTTTCTTAAATTACTGTCATCTCAATTCTTCAAAATACTGACTCCTTTGTTATTTAATATCATGGCTAATTGCATACTGTTTAGCCTGGCCAAAGATAACCAACAGTTGACTAAATTAGTCATTCAAAAGAAGTAATTTTATAAACAACATATTCATTTACATTTCTATTGCTAGTCAGAATGTTCTAATTACATTATGGAAAAGTTAGAACAAGTAAGGCTATACCAGGAAAAGGCTTTAAATGCAGGCCCTATATATGTCTATTCTTACTTCTAAAAAATAGCACTGAGCCTTGCTCCTCAAAATACCAACATAGCTCCTAAGCACTGGCATGCCCTGGGAGCTTGTCAGAAATGTCGACGCTCATGCTCACTTCACCATACTGAATCAGAATCTGCCTTTTAACAAGATCTGCAAGTAAATTATACATATATTAAAGTCTGAGAACATCAGTGTAGAACAGCCCTTAATATTGACAACACTTATCCAAGTTCTACCTAAAACCTTGAAGCTAGCTCTTTACATATTCATCCTCCCCTTCCGTGACATTCCTGTCCTTTATACTTCAACTTCTGTCCTCCAAAACAATTCACTGTAAAACTGGTAAGAACCATGTCATACTCATCTTTCTAGACCCAATTAATCTTAAAACAATATGTTTTAGATAAAAGCTCAATAAATTTGTTTTAATAAAATAAGTGATTAGATCAAAACTCATAATTATACTAGATAATGCAAATGATAAAACAGCTGACAAAATGGATAAATTATTATTCCCTTCTCCAGTAATCTATTTTTAAATTTGCATAATTTATGCACACGGGCATTTCAATGAGCTGATCCAAATAACCACTACCAAAGGGAAAATATTGGGGGTACCCAGCTGGCTCAGTTGGAAGAGGCTGTGACTCTTGATCTCACAGTCATTAGATCAAGCCCCACGCTGGATGCAGAGGTTACTTAAATAAATAAAACTTTATGAAAAAAAAAAAAAGGAATATTGAAATGACTCCTTTCAGTTCTACAAACATCTAAGAATGCTCATGAAGCCTCACACATTTCCATATTTCTCTTCATTCAACCCATCTTTAGGTAATGAAGTAGCAATTCAGTTTACTACTTTAGTAATAAACTACTACTTGTAGTTGGGTTGGTTTTTTTTTTTTTTCATAGAAGTCAACTATTGCTAGTTTTTTAAAATTATAGAACCATTGAATTAATTTTTAAAGTACATATATATTTATTTTTGAACTACTTTATCTAGCAGCAAACTATTACTAACTTTTGAATCATCTAATCATTGAATTAATTTTTGAAATACATGTGAATCCTCTAAGTTCATGTTTTCAATTCTTTTGAAGATATGAAATAATTGGGGGAGGGAAGGGAGAGAGATAAAGACAGGAGAAAGGAGGGGCAGAGGGAGAGAGAAAATCTTTTTTTTTTTTTTTTAATATTTTATTAATTTATTTGACAGAGAGAGAAAGATCACAAGTAGGCAGAAAGACAGGGAGAGAGAAAGGGGGAAGCAGGCTCCCTGCCCAGGAGAGAGCCTGATGCGGGGCTTGAAACCCAGGACCCTGAGATCATGACCTGAGCCCAAGGCAGAGGCTAACCCACTGAGCAACCCAGGTGCCCAGAGAGAAAATCTTAATCTTAAGAAAGCTCTATGCCCAGCAAGTAGCTTGACATGGGGCTCAATCTCACAACCCTGAGATCATGACCTAAGCTGAAATCACAACCCTGAGCTTGCTTAACTGACTGAGCCACTCAGGTGCCCCCAATAATTTACAATTTCTTTAAATTTTTTAAAAAGATTTTATTTATTTACTTAACAGAGAGAGAGATCACAAGTAGGAAGAGAGAGGGAGGGGAAGCAGGCTCCCCACTGAGCATTTCTTATTAATACTTTAAACCTCTGGTATGATTCCATTATTGGAAGTTTTTAGTATCCATACTGTTATTAGTATCACAGAGCATAATGCCAATAAGTGATACTATCACACAATGATGTAGTCACATTTCTCTATAAATTTCTTCTATCTATATGTCTTATTAAAGTGCTATTTTTTTTAAGATTTTATTTATTTATTTGTCAAAGAGAGAGAGAGAGAGAGAGAGCACAGGCAGACAGAGCAGCAGGCAGAGGCAGAGGGAGAAGCAGGCTCCCTGCCGAGTAAGGATCCCGACGTGGGACTCAATCCCAGGACGCTGCGATCATACCTGAGCCGAAGGCAGCCGCTTAACCAACTGAGCCACTCAGGTGTCCCTAAAGTGCTATTTTTAAAGTGAATATATTTATAATATATAAAATAGTAACTTTAAATTAAGTACACTTATTATCAAATGTAATCACTGATGTATTCCTGTGGTAATTTTAAAGAACTAAACAACTTCCAGCCAGAAAAACAGAGGTGTTACAAGCAATATGAAATTATAGCACCTCAGAGCCCTGAAAAAACAGCCCAAGGAAGTGACCTGATTATCACACAGCTGGTAACTGATAGAAGTAAACTGCAAACCCAGGTATCTCGACTCTGATTTCAGTGACTTATCTTGCCTGCCAAATCCAAGGTTAATAGTATAATCCAAGCAGAAATGAGTAAAATTATTATGAGAAGGCAAATCTCTTATTCTGATTTGAATACGTAAATGAACTATAACACTGTGATGTCTAAAGGAAGAATTCATCTATTTTGAAACAAGTAGAGACTTTTACCCATAAAGAGGAGTCCTCAATACCTTAAACTGACACTATATTCCACTCAATTTGGTACTCTATATAGTACAATGACTAACATGATCCATTACCAAAGTAAATTACAGCAAGCTTCTTCTTTGGCACTTATCACACCAGTAATATTAAAGGAAAGGAAAGGAAAGGAAGAAAGAGAAAGAAGGGAGGGAGGGAGCGAAGGAGGAAGGGAGGGAGAAGGAGCGAAGGAAGAAAAGAAGAGAAGAGAAAAGAAAAAAAGAAAAGAGAAAACAGGCTTTAATCCAAACACAACTTTTCATAAATACCAAGTCCTCCAACCAGGAAAATACTGACAGTTCTGGGTTTTCCCTCCCTCCCTCCCTCCCTCCCTTTCTTTCTTTCTTTCTTTCTTTCTTTCTTTCTTTCTTTCTTTCTTTCCTTTTCCCTACCTTTAATAAAGCGGCAGCAGCTTTAAGTGTAAGATTCATGACTGCCTACAATCACAAGAGACAAGATATCTTAAACATGGTGTCCCTGAAAGAATCAGAAAATGTTAAGAGGAATTAAAGGATGGAGAAATGACGCAAAAAGGAATAACAAAAACATGTTTGGCTAATCCAACAAATTTCAATTATCCAATAGCCTGCCCCATCTTAGATATATAGAAGTATTCATAAGTGGGTGGTCATTTCATGATATACATGAGGCTGACATTATTTTAGGAGCAAAAAATAAAGAAAGAAAAAGCAAGCAAGCAAGCAAGTAGCCGGGTAAAAATAGCATGTGGAAAAAGGAAGAATTCTATTTATCAAGAATTCTATTTATCAAGAATTCTATTTATCAATATGCTTTAGAACTTAACACAGATGTATTACCTCAAAGTTCCAAATGACTGAGGGTTCAATTGCACGTTGTGCTTTATTTTGTAATTATCAAGGTATTAAGAGTAAATGAAAGTTTGAAACTCACTCTAAAACTTGATGTATTTCTATTGTTTTTCTGTGTTGTTATTTTGTAAGAATTTTATTTGCCTAAGGAATAAGGACATCCTGAGTTGCATAGATCACCTGGCTCTTTATCTGCCTATGGTAGATTTTCTTGAAAACAGAAGGTCATAAAATAACCACAAAGAGAGTAGCATGGTATTACAGACAATATATATATAACTTAAAAAGGAATAAGTATTTTTAGCTACTAAGCATCATTTCAATAGTTTATTCATCTGAAACAAATAATTAAATGTTTCAATAACTTCATTCATTTGGACTAGAAAACCTGTAACAAATTTTAATTAATTCTTTAGTGCTGGGGTTATTTTAATGTTAGATGCATGATGATTTTCCCAAGGTTAGAATGACTCATTTGACAAAT